TTTAAACACATCTTGAGCTGTCATTATTTTTGTGATGAAACTAGAGCATTGTCATCAGCTGCCAACCTTTCTGAACAATGGGCAAGGAGGAGTTGGTTAAGAATAAAGAAATCAGCAAATCAGTAACCTTTTGAGTTAGGCAGGTGACCAATTGAATCCTTCTGAAGAGAAAGAATATTCTCTCCACTTTTTGAGGACGAGCAAGAAGATTGAGATGGGTTAACTAGCAACCTCATATTTCCCAAGACATTCACCTCTGTCAAGAGTAAAAAGAAGGATAAATTACACAGAAGTAACACACCAAATCACTGAGCACAATGTGTCCAAAAATCTTGTAAATGCATCTGCTGCACTGCAGACTAACATCATTAAGGATGTAAGGAGAAAAACAACTGATCTCCTTTCCTTTTATGAAGGATTCTACATGGGTATCTTCATACTGACAGTTTATCCTGAAATCCAAAGATAATTCAGCTTTCAGCAGTACAATTTCGGGGGGAGAGGAGGGGAAGGCATATAAATTTCCTCACCCCATTTCACTTTTTCAATGGAAAACTGTAAATAACTTTTGCTAATTCAACCACCTGCTCATAAGTGTCTCCTCTTTCGCTTAGAGCACTGCATTGTCTGTATATCACAACTCCCAAGTTATTTTTTAGCCAAGTTCCAGTATTATTCCTCAAGTGACACACTGTTAAAACAAAAATTTTTGCAACAAGTATCTTGACTTTTTTCCTGTAATGCTTATTGTCTTGTCTTCTTTTATTTAAAAAGATGTGATAGCCTATTTCAATTACAAAATGAAGTTGTAAGTTAAAATTCTGAGTTTAGTCTCTCAATTTGCTATACAAAGCTCTTAAGAGAAAATGAGCTGTACCAATGGGTGTTTATTATAGTCTCCATGGTGCCTTACATATTGATAATCAGTTAAGAGGTTTTTAAGCCCATGTTTAACTACAATATTAATCAACAGTAAATCTAGCTTATTTTCTTGACTTTTGACACCATCTGGTACTGGAAGCTTGGATTTCTCACTATATTTCCTTTTACTACCATTACTACTGTATCTTAAAGTACCTGTAAAATTAGAACAAAGATAGACAATAAAAACCTAGTCTTTGCTTGGAGAAAATTTTGCTAGCTTTCATGAGGCTGTGTTGCATCATTTTGGTCTACCAAGCAAAAAGATTTTTAAAAAGCTGTATGTTGTGGCTATACCTCATTTTCCCCACAGAATATCCTATAAAGCTAAATAAAGATTAAAGCAGTAGGGTTACTACACAAGTTAAATGGACTCTAGAGAAATAACTTTGAACACTAAGAGTCTTCTACAGAGTTCTACAGGAAGTACTTGTACATAACTACTTTTAAAGTTCATCTCACTTGCTATTACTCACTTCCTATTCAAAGCAGGAGTATATGGCTGTGATTGAGAAGGTCTGAAGAGCCAAGCAAGGGAGAACTTGCCAAACACAGTGCCACATGCTACTAAAGACACATATTTGCAAGTGCATGCATGTATGCATGGCTGCATCCATGTAGAGCAATGCATTTAGCTTCGAGTTTGACCATAATAATGATACTGTTAGATCCACCCATTTCAATTACATGGCTTTTGAGAACCTGTGTTGTCTTCAAAACCCAGGGCAAATCTCTTGGACCAGGATGAGGCCTTCAAGCTCTGAAGAAAACTGTTTTCAAACCATGCCTAAGGAGCCTTTCAAACAAGCACAAGTCCATCGCTTTAATACCTCCATTCATTTCCTCTACTTACATGTTAGCCCAAGAATTAAATCTTGATGGCTTTTGTGCTTTGCACAGCATAACCTGTACCTTGTGCTTTAAGGTTGTTAAATGGAGTAAGAAAATCCAGATATTTAGTTTCTATAAAAGCTAAGTCCTAAGCACCTGAAGGATGGTTTGTTGTCACTTTTTTCCTTTCTTTTTTCTTTTCCTTACTGTTTTTAGAAGTCACAGCTTCTGTGTATAGAACTCACAGCTGAATAAGCAACAAAGAGTTTTTCTGAAGCTTTTCCCTACCTCTCCTATGTGCATGCACATACACACACATCCGTAGACACTCAGATTAAGCACCCTAAGTGGAACTGGAACACATGTTCTGAAACCCAGTAATGTTTTCAGTGCATCTAAGTAGAACTCTTGCTACTGATAATTAATTCCTCATAAGTTTACTATTATCAGTAGTTGAAAGTCAAGATAAGTCAAGATATGCATTGAATGTTATTTCATTTGTAACATTTCTCAGTAAATACAAATACAAAAGCTGCTAGAAAAAATATTTAAATTGGTCTCCATCTGCTTTCTAACTGAAGGTCTGTAGTTTACAAGCACACTGTAAAATTAGTTATCTGTCTGAAATACATAGGCGAATAGAATGGAAAGGCTTCCATGCCAAACTATCAAGTGCCTAAAGAACGATTTACTCAGCATACTTTAATAGTCACTGTGTACTATACACATATTGTCTCTGAAATCCACTCCCTAATAAATTTTGTGCATTGGAAACTAACACTTGGTTTCTAATACATATGTGACATAGGCATATATTTATTTTCTCGAATAGGGCACTATAATAGTGCCCAATCAGCTTGCCTGATTCTTTGGGGAAAAAAAAGACATATATATTAATAGATTAATACATTTGAAGATGCATTATTTCATATATTACAATTTTCAGACAATAAATCTTAAAGATGAGAGTGAAACAGACACACAAAAGCATTACCTACATTATCACAAACTTGCTCTATGATAGACCACACAGCCAACTGCTGTAATAGCATTTTCTTTGCTCAAAATGCGTTGAATGAGGCAGTCAAAAGAACAAAATAAAACGAAGAGAAAGGACTAAAATGTTCCATATGCCAGTTGAACAGCTTCTAATGTGGGAAATTCAATTATCCTGCTAAAGACTTTTTAAATCATAGTAAAAAAAAATAATGTTGTATGTAAGAACACAGAGGCTCAAAACAAAATATGTACAACATAAAACAATTAGTGCATTCATTTACATATTATAGATGTTTGTGACTCAGACTCTTTACAAAACCTGTCAAAGAATCCAGGTTTTTGTAAAAATTGTCTTACATTCTGCAGACATTTGAGAAACAGAAAATAGCTCTTTTTTTACAACAATGAAGCAGAAACAAAATCAGCAATATGATTTTAGAATAATATAAGCTATCATAAAGACACGATGAGTTACCGGAAAGCCATTTCGCCCTGGTAGACCCTGGTGGAATGAGATGAAATGGTATGACACACATTAACAACAGAGCCATGACATATGACATAACAAACATGCAGTGTACATTATTGACAAGTTAAAATTCACACATTCATAAATTCTTGATATGTATCAGTATTACGGATGAACAAATAAGGAACAGGTATTGCTACACAGTGAAGAAAGGGGACTTCAGTGACTGAAATTGTATATACATTGCTTTAAGTTGAATTAACATTCTAATTAAAAATTTGTCTCTGATTCTCGCTGAAATTCCTTTTGTTACAAAAGGGATTAGGCATGTAGACTGAAGAGCAATATGCGGCTGACAGAAAACAAACGTTTGGTGTTTAGGCAGCAAGATAATACATAGCTAGTTTACCCCTAGAATATAGGGGTCAAAGAAGAAATTTGAGAATACCTTAAAAAAATGAAATCCCTGACTTATCACATGACACTCAATAGACATGCAAAAGGAAAAAAATCAGAGTACTTCAGCAGCCTTTGAAAATAAAACATGAAAATTTCGAGTTAAAACTTAAAACTATTTAGTCTTGAGATCTACTTCAGGGTTATATTAATACCATGAGGATTCAAACTATTTTCTAAAAATGGACCTATGCTAAAATAGTAGAGAGCAAAAGCCAAAAAGTAGACATCCATAACGAGGCTTATAGAGAACATGTGCTATGTAGGTCTTGCTACATGAAAACCACTGGCACAATGATTCATCCTTATTCTTTGTATTTCATGGTATTTCATGAGAAGACTGCTAAAGAAATCAAGGAAGACAGTATTCCTTTCAAATAAACAGCACCGCATTTAGGCTCACCTTTCACTGATGGCTTGTTAAATAAGCTTGACACTATGAACTGCTGAGCACTCAGTCAAATACTTTCAATATGGCTGTTCAGTATAAACCGTTTACACCAAAATCATTAAGCCACAGGTTTTTTTTTTTTTTTTTTTTTTTAACTATTCTTAAACATGCATGTAGCATAGAATTGAGAGATAACCTGGTCTTAAACACACTGTGGAAATATTGCATATACAAAATACAAACAACGTTGATCACATCATTGGTACACATGGCATGACAAAACACCAATACTGGAAATACATGCACTTAATCATGTACTTCAAGTCAGACTTTTGACCTGCCCTGGAAATTTACTATCAAAATAAAACCACTCCCCCCACAACACTGCATGATGAGCACAAGATTGAACCACCTAAACTGTTATATTTTTAGTAATTGTTTTACACAAGCATTTACTGTGATAACTGTACTAGAATGAATTGGACAGCATATACCACTACAGTGCATAAGGAGTCTCTGCCCAAGACTGCAGAAACTGCAAAGTCTCTGCCCAGTAAAAGGTGAGTGAAGTTGAACCTAAAATAGCATACTTGCATATTTTTACACAGTAGCAAAATTTCTGTTACTAAGTAATGCACAAAATGAACATAACATACTTACATGGAAATTCTAGTCCAACCTGCTAGCTGGAGTGCTGAATGTAAGGTTTTACAGTTTTAAGGACTTTTTTTTTAATCCCTCCCTCCTTAAGGAATATGCTAATTAAATTATTCAGCTCCAAAATAATTAGTAAGGATTTGTGCTGTGTAAGTATAAATATAAAAAATCCATCTTGATAATAAGATACAATCAGTTTATCGCAGTGATAATTTAACAGGATGTAACAGATTCTGTCAGATTCTGGAAGACCCAACAACGTATCACTGTACTTACAGGAGGTCCTGTGGTGAGGGAGGGGGAAGGAAGGGACAAAAACACAGAGAGGAGGAGAGAGAAAAAAAAAAAGGGAGAGAGAGAGAGAAAAAAAAAGGAACACGTAAGTTTACAGTTATTATTACAGTAAGTTATTACAGATGATAAATATGTAGGAAGCAAAGCATGAGGCTTCAGGATTATAGGTGAGCAACACTATTAATACACTGCACATATTTTTCCATTCCATTCAAGTATTTTTGTTTTGACTTTGCTTTCAACTTGTAAATATGACTAGTGTTCAAGTGCATGCCCTTTCCTTACCAAGGAACCCAACACTTTAACTACCGTCATGCAATCTTATCAAAGGTGCTTCTCCATCCATTTCCGTGAAAGTTTATTACAGGCCAGAAACACTAACCATGGAGGCTACAATTCATTTTGTAAGATTCTCCACAAAGAACGTGCAACAATATCCCCCAGTTTCAACTAGCCACCCTATTTGGGCATTACATCACAGCTTTCTGCAAAACTGCAGATAGTACCCTTAGCATTTATCCTTGGCATCTAATCAATACATACTTGCACCCACGTCTTCCAGCCTTCCAACTTAGCTCCTAAAGGGAGGCTTCAGCAGCCACCCGACAGTGCAAAACTTTCTTGTTATCACCTTCCTTTCTCAAGGCATACTTAAAAAGTGCTCCCTATTAAAATGTCACCCATTTGCACATTTTTTCAATTATTTAACTCAAAGACTTTTGTATAGCAGTTCTTGAAAACATTATCAAAGGGCCACAAATCAAAAATGCTATTTCAGTCTTATTAAACTGAGCAGCTGCAGCTCCCAAATCAATGACTTTTCATTAGCTTTCATGCCTCTAATTTCTGAATGAACTGAAGTGCAAAAGAGGTATAAAACAGCAACAGCTGTACATTGAGAGTGCTTTTGATATTCACAGCCTTTTGTTTTTAACAGTGTAATTTTATTGTCCAGTAACTAAACCAATTTCTTTATACTGGTAAACATTCTTAAATCCTCTTTTAAGGTGCAGGCCTGTTTTTAAAGAGATCAATTTCCTTTATTAATAGTTTAGTATGTGTTTATCTGAGATTTAAAACGAATCAACAAGAGTACTACAAAGTAACTGCCCAGCTGATTTGTAAGGCAATCTTTAACTTGAGTTTCCTTCAATTCCTTGGTATGTTTTTCTGCAAAAAATACTAAGCCAGCATTGAATGGAAACAGCAAGATGATTAATATAAACCTCTGGCAAGGCTTGGTTTGAGTTTTGTGATGCAGGAAAACCAGCATATAGTTTTTAAAGGCCAAATAAAATTATGATTTACACAGATAAGAAATGCTAAATAGTAGATTTTCAAGTCTCAAGTTGATTAGGGGTTTCCCATAGCTAGAACATTAAACAAGTGACAAGCAAGAATATTAAAAATGCTCATGTTCTCCTGCATTACTTCTAGAAAGTTCACCTTTATAAAAGAGTCAAACCCACAAAGTAATAAACAGTTCTGATTCTTGTCAATGTCAACAGGAAAAGGAGCTCACATCTCAATGTTGTCTCAAATGAAATTTCAAGCTCCATACTCAATTACTTTCTCGCAACAGCAAACATACTACTACAAGAACCATTGCTGTTTTTCTTAACTCCAAAAAAAAATAGTTTTATTTGCTTTCTAACAAACAAGAATTACCCTCATACAGAGTAGTCTACAGACATTATCATTAGGAAGCTCATCTACCAATTAATGACACCCAAGACTAGCAACTATCTGAAAGGCCATCAGGTATATGCCAAGGATCACAAATTTCTACCAGGAAAGTTTCAGAAGTCTCTTTCCACAGCACACAAGTAATGAAAATAGAAATGAAGGCATGCTGTGTATGTACCCTGACAAGAACACACAGACATCAAACAGGAATTAATCTTACAAAATTGAAAACTTACCAGTCTCTCCTCTTCTGCCTCGCTTACCTCGTTTCCCCGGAGGACCTAAAAACGAAGAGGAGGGTGAGTTGTATTTTTTTTTTCTGTAGATCAGATTTAGAATTGCATTTGTATATAGATATAAGGGCATTAAAGAAACATATTCATGAGCAACACTCGTGACTGAACGGGCGTGTGTGACAGTAAGAATAAGGTTCAGGGACTGGCTGAGCAGGGATAAGAAGTTACTGGAATAAGACTCATAGTTTAAGGTAAAATAGACAGCTACATTACCCACGAGAGGCTCACAGGAAAACAAAGGCTGAATGAAGCTTTTTTCTCCCTTTTCCAACACGTAACAAGAAAATATTCTCATCCTGTTTTGCAGAATATTGTTTTTCTAAACTTTAACAGCATTACGGGTATGTGCATATACTAAGACACGCATCTACTACGAAGTCTTCTGCTGAGATTCCTACTCACTAAAAAGCATTATAGCCACTACTACAAAATTATTCTGGTATACTGACAAGAAGGAATTTCATCCAGCAAGGCAGATTTCTACATAGCATTAAACTGGCGGTGTAGTAGCTGGGTACAGTGATGGCAGAAGGCCTGTAGTCCACTTCTGTGTTCTGATATCACTCTCTGATCCTTCCTCAACTGTTATTCCGACATTATGAAATGTAAATGCATTTAAGTGTTAATAACCTGATAACTTCTTATTTTTGTTTTTCCAAAGTAACCATATCACCAGATTTAGCAGAATTACTCTGGATTTATGCCAGCATAAAGGTAATCATAACACAAGCCCTAACCTTTGCGTCTTCAGACCAGTTGTACTCAGAGATTATTGTGAGACATGAAGCACTTCTCCCTCTCATTAAAAGCTTTTCTGAAGTCTGTACACTCCAAACTCTGTTTAGGCAGTGACCTTTATAAATCTCTTAGAACCTGTGAAATGAGACACATTTGTGCATATTTATCTAAAATGCTTAATCAAGAAGAAACAATGCATTTGTAAGCTTTTATTCCTCCAAGGTCACAAAAACACTAACCTGCACATTTAAGGTCATCACTAGTTTAGGAAGGAGGAGCTTTCATGTTTTCCTGAATACCCTGCTCTCTCAAAATCTTGACTACTAACATTATCTGTTGTTCCAAAGCTTTTCAGTTATCTAAAGCTTGTATATTTTTCTATAAATATTAATTTTCCCTTGCATAAGCCATACAGCAGCTAAAATAAACACTTTGAAATTTCTTGCTCTGGATAGAAAGCCCTCTAGATCATATCCGGACATATCCGCCCTCAATTGTATTTATACAGGGTATTCAACAGTCAGTTGATTTAAACATCTTTTCATATTAAAAACATAAACCTTAAAAATAAAGCAAATACTGGAATCTTAATGAAAAAGCTACTTCAATACAGATTAATCATACCGTGCAACAAGCAAAATCTAGTTCGTAGTAGCTGTTTGATACTCTTTTCTTAAGCTCACTTCTTTCCTTACACTCACTAGATTTACCTCTAAGCAAGGACTAAAAGTAAAATACTGAAAGATTCAACTGCTCTTCATTTTTAATTGGTTTTACCTTCAAGATACTTGAAACATTCTTATTTATCTGAAAAGATACATGAATATAATTTATGAATATAAAGTTTAGAAAGGATTTTTTTTTCATATAAACATTAAGAAGCTAATGCCACTGTTCTTCTGTATCTATAAATGGAATTCTGAAAATGAAAGAAATAAAGGATTTTAAGAATTCAGAAATACATAGTTAACTATTTCTTAAGTCACTAATTAGTTAGATGATGAAAAAGTTTTGGCTATCCTACCGACTGACGCTGAACTGGTACCAGACCAAAAGAAAATTGAACTTCACCTGGGTAACAGCTTTAGACCTGATATTTTAACTCGAATACGAGCTGTAAAAAGTAGTGAGTCAGTAGCAGATCTGTTACAAGCAATTCCCCCAGTTCCCACTCAGAATCAAAATAAACTCCAAAACTCTGCTAAAAATTTGTCTTCTATGTGCACAGCAGTGCCAGAGGTCTGCAGCTGATCTCCTATTTTTATCCTGCTAAATTGGAGGGTTTTTTTTTTTTTTTTTTTTTTTTTTACTGGAGGGAAGCAGAGCATTATTGTAGTTGCTTCATTATATGCCTTGCCATCTATCAAAAAAAATCACATAGCTTAAAGCGCAGGAGCCAATATGCCAACTTAACACTGGAGAATGAGCTATGTACTTAAGCTGGCTGTAAGGCTACCTCAAGCTGCTAGAACAGTATAAAGCAACTTTAACAGATTAAAACATCAAGCTTAATTTGTTTATGTTTACTACATGTCCAGCATAATAGTAAAGATGATCATAAATCTTGATTTTAAATCTGTGAGTATTTTTCAGATCAGATACCCCAGATGGAGAGGGGAGAGAGAGGAGGAAAAAAAAAAAACACTTTTAAAATCTGTCATTGCATTTCTCCTGTACTTGGGTCATGAGCAAGCTTGAAGCCAATATGCTTCCTTCAGGAGCATTAGGCATAAATCTATGACAAATGCACTGAAATCATGAGATTAAAGCACCTAGAACACAGCTGAAATCAGCCAGCTAAAGCACGCAACCTATTCTTTCTGATCAAACCATCACAGGGCAAAATAACTGCTGCTTTTGCATTTCAAGCTCTATCACCCTTTGTGCTAGTGCAACTCAGCTGCCATTATTTCAGTCCATTTCATAGTTCCCCCTGCTAGACAAACTTAAGCAACTTAGAGGCCTGCACAAAGCAGAGCCACTGCAGCATGGCTCATGTGGAGCAACCAGTTTCCTCAGCACACCAACACCTTGTTGTTTTGCAGCCAAAGGAGTAGGAGTACCAAATGATACTGTAGGCCAGAGACATGCATAGGCAGCAGTGCAGAGCAACTGAGCATAAAACCCAGTTCTGGGAATCTACATGCCATAAGTCCCACAGCAACTAATTAATGCCGCATGATTAACTACCTTCTTGTGCTACTCTCCTCCTATTGAAATGCTCACCGAGTGCTGTAGACAGTACTGAAACATCTAGAAACCCTGAGATCTTATCAGAGGGATTTTTGGCCACCATGAAATCTGACAAACACATTCATAGCCCCTTCTCATAACATTGCAATCAATTCCACCCCAAGTAAGGAAGAATAGGGAGGATTTTTTGTCTCCAAAGTCAAGCATGTTCTTACTCGCAAATACTGCATGGATCTATGCCAACCTGCTTCACTGTCCTTTTTCCTTTTCCCTCATTTCTCAGCTTTTTTAGTTCATGTAACACTTGGACTCTTCTTTCCTCCCACTCTGCACACTCATCCCAACTGGCATGTCAGCCTCCTGCTTTGTACCTCAGTCTGTCTGGGACAGCCTGTTTGAATTTCCTACTTCATAAAATTATCAATCTCCCTTCAAGCCTCAGCTGGATAAATAACATTCACTGTTTCACACACACTACATCTCTCTTTTTTTTTTTTTTTTTCTGGCTCACCATAAAATATTGCATTGCAGGGCTTGGATACATGTCAGAGGCCATTATGCAACCTACTGAGGAAATGCCAAAATCAGTCTATCTGATTCACAGCAGAGAAATCTGACCTAAGTCAGACTTATTTATTTATTTTACTGTTTCTGTACATACTAAACCCCATCTGATTAGAGGCATCTAGTCCAGCATCACATGGCTAAAACCAGATGCTACTGAGGGAGCTGAACGAATCCTGTGATTGTCACCTGCAAGATGGCAGTTGCGTTTTGCAAACTAAACTTTAGTGGTGAGGCCACTGAATTATTTTAATGAACATATAACACTGCATGCACACATGGTCTTATTTGCAAACACAGACATAGATGCTATCACCTGGCTGACAAATATTGCTGAAAGACAGCTGAAGTATGCAGGGGTATCTATTCTATACTAGCTAGGTATTAAAGTCTTCCAATCATTTCAACTTGTCATTCTATTGCATTATCATCATGCCATACCAATAGCTGCCCTTCTGATACAAAAAGCCTCTGCTATATAGAGGAAAAACTATTCAATCTTCATTTAACATTTTCAAATATTCATGTTGATGAAATAAGAAGTTATTAGAATTAGATTCTTCTTCTTTGGCCTCAATTAGATTTATATGTCCTTTAGGAACATATTCAGACTCTTCCCAAGGACATTCAGCCACACTGCATGGTTGAGAGATAATATAGTAAAATTCCAGTTGTATAGAAGCAAAGGCTTCAGAATTAAGAACTAAAAACTAATTATTGCATCTGTCTTGAGAAAGCCACTTCATACTTCAGTACAAAGTTTTGCCATCAGAAAAACAGCAAGTAACAACGACATGGTAACAGTGGAAAATACAGCATCTTTCTCAAATGCAGTGCTTTAGACAAGCAAAACCTTGAAACAGAGAGTTTGCCTTGGTCCCCATGAAAGAATTGGCCTTTTTCTAGTGGGTATACAGTAGCTCAGTTCATAGACCAGGACAGAGCAGGACTGCAGCCTTTCCAGTAATGTGGCTGAGAAGTGAGGACTTGAGTGTTGGTCACAGCATCCCCACACCCAGTAGATGGTAGGTTCTACTCTTTGAAAAATGCATCATACATGTAATAACACCACCATCACCCTGAAAAAGCTGTCATATTTATTTATTTAATTAATTACTTGCATCCAATTATACTCGGTCTTAGTGATTTTTCTTGTAAACACATGGTCTTGCATATGTAGAGGAGACTGGTCATTACTTCCTCTGAGGGTTCCCTGCACTTCATCTGTCCAATTTTTCATTTCTTTATCCTTTCTACTTGCTGGCTACATCACTCTCAGCTCCCAGGCACAGGATAAGGGCAGCTGGTGCATCAGCTGGAGAAAAGTCCTGTTCAAGCACCAAATACCTATTACAGAGTTATATATGTGCTTGAACATCTCCTCTTACGTTATCTGCGAAGCTATTGCACAGACTGCTGGTTTTGCATTTCAGCAGTCAGTATAGCTCACCTTACTGTGAGCATGTGCTCTACTGAGTATATGAAAAATA